AATGAAGAATGCTGAGAGAATGAATGCGGGAGAATAAATTTCAGATGAATAAATGAATACCGAAAAATAAAATGAAGATAAAAATATAAAATCAGCTTTAAAAAAATCACACCTCGAATAACTTTCGTTTATTTTACGAAAGAAAGAAATAAAAGGAAGAAATCAATGAAGAAAGGTTTGAGGAAAACTACAGTGTATTAATGTTACAAACAGACCATATAAATGTATGTATGAAGAAAGTAAAGTAAAAGATGAAAGTATGAATGAAGGAAAAATAAATGAATGATTTTCTGCTTCCTTCATTTTTTTTTTTTTTTTTTGGTAGATAATTAATCGGGACATTTTCTGTCGAAATTATGAACGTATCTAAAATGAAAGAAAGAAAGAAAGAAAGAAAGAAAGAAAGAAAGAAAAAAGAAGGAAAGATACAATTTTCTTTTCCCGCTTCTTTTTGTGATTTAACCTAATTAGGACGATTTCCGTACAAAGAAAGGGACGATGAAAAAAAAAAAAAACGAAAAATGAAAGAAAGAATGAATGAGTGAAAATAAGTAAACTCCACCCCTGAGGGATTAAGTGAAGAAGAAAGAGAGAAAAAAAAAGAAAGAAATGACAATGCGTTTGAAAGGGTAGTTACATTGAAAAGAATGAAGGAAATATAAAGTTGATTATGCAAAATTTGAGAGGAAGGACATAAAAGAAAGAAAGAAAGAATGAAAGAAAGAAAGAAAGAAAGAAAGAAAGAAAGAAGTTTTTAATTTAGGAATAAGAAAAAAGGTTAAAACTAATATTTTATGCAAATTGTAAAGGAAGTACATCAAAGAAAGAAAGAAAAAAGAAAGAAGTATATTCTTTAGGGATAAGAAAAACAGGTTAAAACTTTATGAGAGCAAGGAAAGAAAGATCATTATTTATCACAAAACAAGAGAAAACAAATATATAAAGAAAATTTCTTGTCACGTTAATGGAAACTTTGTCTTCCATTCTATCTTTGCTTTTGTTGCTTTGAAGGCAACGGACTTGGCAAAAAAAAAAAAAAATGCCAATCCCCAGTCATGCCAAAATGCCGAATCGAAACTGTCTTGAAATGTTTTGTTTTTTTTCTTCCTCAATATTTATTTATCTATTTCATAATTCTAATATAAACATTCATTTTTGTTCAATATTTTCCACGTTGATTAATGATAGCAAGGCATGTTTCTTTTTTCTTTGTGCTTACTTGTCAGAGCAGGACGAAAAATGCAACATATTCTAAAATTGTGCTCCCTAGACCCTTGATCATTGTGGAATTAAACCTCAGAGTATTAGCGTGTCATATTATATTCGATAATTCTTTATTCTTTTATAGTTGGATGTTTTATTTACTAGCATCGTACCCGTAAAAAATGATTGGATTACTTATATAGGAATCTGCATTTCTGTTTGTGATAATCATATCTGTAATAAGTTCCAGGGATCATAGTTGATGCGGACTAGTTTGTTAAGGTAATTGAACAATATACATAATAGACTCTCAGAATAAGGCACAAGATTTGAGGTGAAATAGCAATAATAAATTTAATATATATATATATATATATATATATATATATATATATATATATATACTCTTCGGAAAATGGAATCGAGTTCTCTCAGTCACTGCGTGTTTATCTAAAATAAATACGCTTAAATTCACCTTCATCCCTGCGCCAACGGATTAGTGGTAGAATCCCCCGACTGACACCAAATCAGTCGTATTTCGATTCTAGCTAGAGGCTGTCGATCGTCTAGCCACACTGATAAGGTTAGCATCAGCCATGATAATGAAAGGCAAAATATGTTCTCTCAGACGATTAAAAGAGAGTAGTTTCGTTTTGAAGGCAAAGCATTTCGTGCCCCTGTTAAAAAAGACTCTAGGTCATTTTTGAGATCAGCTGCCAATTTGACCACATCGAGCCGATCAGACATAGTATGAAGACAAGAGTAAGTAATAATGCTATCAGCATAGATATCGAGTCGTGGACTGATGACATCAGGAATGTCGTTGATGAAAATTAGGAACAATATACGTCCATGGATGGAGACATAGGGGAATCTTGTAGTAATGCAAATAGATCTAGAGGATTGGCCGTTTAAGATAATCTTAATTTCACCATCTGAAAGAAAGACTGAATCAGATAAAAATAAAATCCACCCAGAAATGTTGGTGTACGGAAAAGTATTACTCCATGTTACTTACGTCTGGGTTCATTGTTAATCTGTTTATCTCTGGTATGTTTCTCTTCGAGATGATCATCTCCAAGTATTACGCTGCGAGCATCTTCGGCGTGCTTTGCCTTTGAGCTATTTAAATTTTAACTGTGGAAGAAACATACTCGAGAGTATTTTAACACAACGGCTGAACGCCTCCCATTGTATAAAATATGTATAGTAAGATTAATATAACGCTTGCGTGACACTGTTTTGCACTTATATTTATCTCTATTCTCTCGTGAGAATAGAGATATCTATCTATGAGTCTCTCTCTTTCTCTCTATCTCTTTATATATATTTATATATATATATATATATATATATATATATATATATATATACACATGTCTATCTATTCTACTTTTCTCTATCTATCTATCTATCTATCTATCTATCTATCTATCTATCTATGAGTTTCTCACTCTCTCTCTATATATATATACACTGTCTATCCATCTATTTCTACTTTTCCCTATCTATCTATAAGTCTCTCTCTCTCTGTATCTATCTATCTATCTATCTCTATATATCTATATCTATCTATCTATCTATATATATATATATATATATATATATATATATATATATATATATACACACACACACTGTCTGTCCATCTATTTCTACTTTTATCTATCTATCTATCTATGAGTCTCTTCCCCCCCCTCTCTCTCTCTATATATATATATATATACATATATATATATACAATGTCTATCCATCTTTTTCTACTTTTCCCTATCTACAAGTCTCTCTTTCTTTCTCTCTCTCTCTCTCTCTCTCTCTCTATATATATATATATATATATATATACTGTCTATCCATCTATTTCTATATTTTTTTATTTGTTTCTTTTCTATATCTATCTATCTGTCTCTAGTCTTATAATACGCCTGTTACTTTAAATGATACACTTAAAAAGAAAAAAAAAATGTTGCTTTTAACATATCCAATCCTGACCCGTTGGTGTACGCTCACCATCGGCATACTTGTCTAATATGTTGAATCTAATCTAAAAGCTTTACTCGTAACAACAGAATATTAGATTATCTCAACTAGAGGAGATTAAGCACACTTTATACTAGAGAATATTTAAAAGTAAAGAGAGAGAGAGAACAAGCGAAAAATAATTTTAAAAATTGTATTTTCTTTAAAATATAATAAAGCAGACAATAAAGTAGACGAGGAAAGAATTTTACAATATGCTTCATGTTTCGTTGACAGACAAATCATTTTTCTTCTTCAATTTCTAATCTTTTACTCCAAGAAAACAAAATCTGATACAAGGGAAATCGTTATCCTCAGCTAGATCCCATTTTGAACTGAGTGTAGGCCAGGGTCAACTTGTAACCTGTGACTTCTCAAAAGGTATATGCCTAGTGAACTAGACAAATTCTGGCATTAGCCACACGAAGGTACGTAGGTCCTTTCTTTCTTTCTTTCTTTCTTTCTTTCTTTCTTTCTAGCTTTATTTATTTATTTCTTTCGTTGTAATTTTCTTTTTTTCTTTCATTTTTCCCTTTATCTATTCTTCTCGTTCTATATCCTTTTTTATCATCCTTCCTTGACATCTGACTTAAGTACTGTAACCTCAAAATCATTAAAATTCGTCAGACATCACGTAGCGATTAGTGAAGCCAGTACTTAAACACTAAATTAACTTCATATATATATATATATATATATATATATATATATATATATATATATATATATATATATATGTCAAAGGACTTATTAGCAGAACAGTGTCTAATCCTACCTTTAAAATTGTTCAGATTTTGTGACTGTCAGATAAATTCATTGCCAGGTAAACGTGACAGATTTCTAATATTTTTAAAGATGGCGGAGCTAATAGAACTCTATATGTATATTCCGACTATTTTGTAGAAGGATTTGAAAATAAGTACAGTAAATATATATTAGTATTTCCAACTCAACTGTTAGTTATTCTTTTATTGAGTTATATTTTATGTGTTGTACAGTAATATTGGATTTACAACTTCAATCACCAGTTCGCATGGAATTTGCAACCAGAGATGCTTACTTCGTAACTTTCACACAATTTGAAAGGAAATAAATATAATTATCCTTAGCAATGTCATTGTCGTGTAAAGGAATAAATTGTAACGGCTCATTTTATGAAAATGGTCAATTACACAGTATTGTTTTAATCAACATGTAACGAGTCCTCTGATTGATCAACAGACGAGCCAATGACAGGCTTGTCTCGTGTTCTCTTTAGCGGACAATTTCGAAACTCTTTCCCTTTTTGACGACTGGACCCGGAGCAGTAAAAATGTACCAAGCTGCTTTCTGACTAACAAGAACAACATGGAATATTCAAACCAACTAGTATATACCATTTGAATAAATATCTCTAATCATATATATATATATATATATATATATATATATATATATATATATATATGTGTGTGTGTGTGTGTGTGTGTGTGTGTGTGTGTGTGTGTGTGTGTGTGTGTTGTTTATTTTAGGATATTAACACAACATGTAAAAATCGCTAAACAATTGCAGTCATGCTTCGAAGCATACCAATACGTCTCAGGCGATTGTAAATTACTGGCGAGTGAACGATTAATTTGGTTTCAAAAGCAAAATACATCCTTCTCTCTCTCTCTCTCTCTCTCTCTCTATATATATATATATATATATATATATATATATATATATATATATATATATATAATGTTTTGTATAAAGTTTTTGCACCCCTGAAGATGATCTTGGAAGAAGATCGAATGTACCTGGGAAAAGAAATTTAAACAGCAATAGCACATTTTTCTCATTCTTTAAGAAGGTTATTCTTGAGTATGAACGGATTTTATTAAAAATTAGCAGGACATAATGTCTGTAAATTATTCAATCAGACATGCCTAAAGAGAATTTGCTGCCTAAATACACACACACACACATATATATATTATTTTTAATATTATTATTAATAATAATAATATTATTAATAATAATAATAATATTATTATTATTTTTAATTTATTTTGTTATCGTTAATTTTCTAAGGATAGTCATATTCGAGTAAAAGCTCTGTTTTTAATTAAACTGTATTTTCTATCCAACTGCATCCCTACACGCAAGCGTTTATCGCTGTTGGCCCGCTGTCGGACCGTCGGCGTGTTCGTCTCGGCAATGCTACCACTTGCGAACGCTAGTGGCCCACCATTCGCCCGCCGTTGGCGTATTGGTGGCTTCCACCAGAGGACCACTGGCTTTACCATCGGCGGCCCAACAGCGGGCCACTAGCGAGTTGCGTGTAGGGATCTACCGGACTCTGCTTGTATCTCTTTATCTTCTATTTCTCTTGTCAGTTTTCTTTTCCTTTTCATTCATTCTATATTTCCCTTTCCTTTATTACATTCCTATTGAAGTTTTAGGCTTACAGCCCCATCTTTTACGATCACCAAAGTTAAGCAAAGTGGATCTTGGTCAGTGCCTAGATGGGTAGATGCTTGGGAATACCAGGTGCTGTAAGCTTGAATGTGTCGGGAGTGGGGAGGTTGAAATTGTTAATTGGAGAACCAAGTTGCAATTCCTGTTGGGGTCATTAATTTTCACTTTCGCGAAAATACCCTTGGAAATGGTATGAATCAACCTCTTCTTCCCCCAGCTATGGGTTAATTAGTAACAATTGCATCACTAAAAGATTATCATCACCAACAAAATCTTATAATCTAAAAGTATTTTCTGGCTTTAAATAATCTGTAGAGGGTTGATAAACCGTAAAAAATTAATCAATCATTAAACCTTATTGCTTTCTTAATGACTATTTTCTTTCGTTATATATTCTGTCTGTTTATTTATTTGAATTTTTTCTTCGTTTATTTTTCATTCTAGTTTTCTTTATTTCTATTCTGAATTCGTTCTTTCACTCTTTTTTTTACTCAATTTAACCTGATCGAACCCATCAGACTTAAATTAAGACAGAAGTAAATATTTTTAAAACATACATTTAAAAAGAAATTTTTAGCATTGGTTAAAAATACCGATTCAAGGTCATTTTTGAGATCAGCTGCCAATCTGACTTTATCGAACCGATCAGACATAGCATTAAGACAAGAGAAAGTAACCGTGAACTGATGACACCAGGAAGGTCATTATGAAAATTAGGAACAACTTAAATCGAGAGCCCTGGGGAAATCCTGCATTAATGGAAAAAAAAGACATCGAAGAGTGGCCGTTCAAGACGATTTTCATTTCACGATTGGATTAAAAAGTCTGAATCAGTTAAAAAATTCGTTCAAAAATATCATAACATTTCAACTTGCTGAAGAAGACCAGTTTTCCAAACCATGTCAAATGCCATCGAGATGTCCAACATCCCGAGCTTCCCTATTCTTATTTAAAGCTTGATAGCAATAAACATTAATACATCAGCTTGTTGACCTAGAGAAGCGAAAGCCATATTGCGGCGGAACTCAGTTTTATGCTTAGTAAGTAAATTAATTTTTAGAACTCAGGATGAACGGGTGTTATTATTGCTCAATCTGTCGTAAATTAACTTAGTGACTGTTTGGCTCGACTGATTTTTTTTTAACGCAAACACGTGTTCACGTCAAAAAAGTTTAAAAACATATAAGCCAGGTGGGTCGTTTTTGAAAGCTCAAACAAATAAAAAAAATATTTTCAGTTTTGTTTCATTCACGTGTTCTATTCAAGGTGAATGCTTATCTAACAAAATGAAAGTAAGTCTGTTTCATGTTTTTTCCAAACATTAACCTATTATGATCGTAGATGTTCGCTGAGCAAGATAGCCTGACGGCGCCCGACAATATCCAAGCTGGTTTTTTGAATTCAGTTTTATTCTTCTTCCCGTTGAAAGGTTGCCACGCAAAGCTATATAACCCAGTGTGTCCTGCCATTTATCAATATGTTCTTCTCCTATCTAGATTACCTCCCAAAGCTATATGACCCAGCCTGTCTTGCTATTTATCAATTTCTTTTTCTTCTAGACGTATTGCCACCCAATGCTATATGACCCACTCTGTCTTGCTCTTTATCAATATTATCTTCTAGAGAATTTGCCACCTTATGTTATATGGCCTAGCCTGTCTTGTTATTACCTTATATGACATAGCGTGTCTTGCTATTTATCAATATTTTCTTTTTCTAGACGGAACACCACTCAATGTTATATGACCCAGTCTACCTTGCTAGTTATAAATATCTTATTCTCCTAGATGGGTTGCCATCAAAAAGCCTTATAAACCAGTCTGCCCTGCTGTTTATCAATATATTCTAATCATAGATGCGTACCCACCCAAATATATATGACCCTTGCTATTTATCAATATCTTCTTCTCCTAGACGTAATGCCACCCAATGCTATATGACCCATTCTGTATTGCTATTTATCAATATTATCATCTCATAGAGAAGTTGCCACCTTATACTATATGGCCCAGTTTGTCTTGCTATTTATCAATATCTTCTTCTTGACGGGTTGCCACCCAAATCTATATGGTCCAGTCTGCTTTGCTATTTATTAATATCTTCCTTCTCCTAAACGGGTTGCCACTCAGTGCTATATGACTCAGTCTCTTTTGCTATTTATCAATATCTTCTTCTCCTAGTTGGGTTGTCACCCAAAAGCTATATGACCCAGTTTGGCTATTTATCAATATTTTGAAGGTGGTAAGAGATGGATTCATGTCTTTTCCAAGAGTATTAGTGCATAAGTGGCAGAATTCAGATTCGGCTCACTGATTCATCCGTGCTAGCCGCCATCCATTACTCCGCCGTGCATTTCATTTTTAACCCGATTTATTAGCGAATTTATTATTTCTATGTTTTTTGTATGTGTGTTTGCTTTTGTTTGTTGCTATTGTTTTTATAGCTACTCGAAATGGCCGCTACTGAGGTGGATTAGGGTTAGTTATGCTCCCCTCCACATAAAAGAATAAATAAAAGGAAAATGTTTGACCACTTAGCGACTAATTCATGGGAACTCC